GTCATTGTCATTGTCATTGTCATTGTCATTGTCATTGTCATTGTCATTGTCATTGTCATTGTCATTGTCATTGTCATTGTCATTGTCATTGTCATTGAAATTGTCATTCTGATTCGGATTCTAATTTAAGTTGATAGACCAATAATTTAATTATGCTAATGTATCATTTCAAAAGAACGATTAATGCATAGATGTAAGGCGCATTAGTAGCTATTTAAATGCCAGTTGGTATTTTTCCCTCTCAGCTGTTGACAAAGTCCGGCTGTTGCGCAATAGGCCTTTATTGACTAGACATGTCCTATTGAAATATAATCCGATTAGTTGCCATATTGGACTGAATAGAGCTGCGAGCTATGCATGTATCGCGTTTCATGCTCTTTGTTTATCCATAACCAAAGATGAGGATTACCTGCTGGTATGCTGATGTCTGTGCTGGCACACACAGCTGCCGTTGGTATATAATAGGCATTTCGATACCGAAACGCTGCAGTTTACTCATCAATGTTTGGCCTAAGCTCATGCGACACGTTCGCCCTCTAGCACACAATCCTCAGCGAACTACCAAATTGTCAACTAATGTCAAATGCAGGTGCACATCGACATCGAGGTGCAAGGTGGGCAGCTCGACTCGGCTACTTACTGCGGCAGTTGGTTAGGCTTAGCCAAGAGTCATGACTGCAGCTGACTATGGCAGGCATCGGGATTAGTTTGCCTCTAAGTGATATTACATGCTACTTGAGCGCACATTTTCACGCCAGGTGTGTGTAACAAGCGCACACATTCTCACACACAAGCGCAGGGAGCAACACATTCAACAGCCTGGTGCTATTTGCTGCACACAACTTGCTGCCAATAGCTGCTTGCCACATGCAACTTGTTATGCAACAGCACACAGCAGAGCAAAGAACAGCCAACAAACACTTCACATGCTTCAGACTGGGTATCAAGAGAGTCGTACATAATATATATACGCTAAAATATCGTTGGGTTATACACGTACACGTATTCCTTTTAAATTTAGAAAAAGCTTTCTGAGAATTGAGTAATATTTGTGGAGTAGAAATAAAAAATCAAGAGTGATATATTATTGCAATGTTTATTTCAAATTCAGCTGCGCCTAACTTTAAAATGTTTTATTTAAGCGCTTTAAGCATATTTAAGAATGCATATAGTTTTTAAAATT